TGTACGACCGAGTGTCCTCCAGCCATCCTTCTATTATTCGTGACGCTACTCGTGTACTTCATGACATGTTCCACCCGTCTACCTTAGATTATGAGGAACCCGAAGGAGTTGACCGTCCTCGAGGTCGACAACGGCGGAACAGGAGTGCGTTTGAGTATATCCGTGGTCTTGGTCGTGGTCGTTCTCGTAGTCGGACATCGTCATCTAGTCGTAGTCAATCTTCATTGTCTGTGAATATGCCCCTGAGAACTGGTACGTTTTGGTTGTTTTTATTGCACATAGTTTTAAAGTGTTACTCCTGCCTTCTTAACTGTCTATAATTATATGGTGAATAGGAAGAAACGATGTTGATCAGTTTCCGTACAAGGAAAGGATACCTGCGATCATCATGTCATACTTGGAAGGGTGGAATGATGTAATCGGAGATGGTAACTGCGGATTCCGGGTCGTGGCTGATGTTTTTCAAATGGGCGAAGACAACTACGGTTTGGTGCGTCAGTTGATGTACAGCGAAATTGCCTCTAACCGAAATGTTTATCGTCATGTGTACCAGGATGACTTGGATGGCGCTCTGCGGCGTATCCGGTGGGGAGGTGGACCTTGCGGCCAAAATCATTATTTTTACGCGCCCCTAGATCTGTTTGCCGTTGCAAACATTTACAAATGCGCAGTCATGCATTTCGGCCTGGGAGTGCATAGTCAAGCTTATTATCCTTGTACCACGGTTCTCCCTTGGCGGTCGCGTGAGACTGTCACCACACCGGTCAGAGAGCTAGCTATTGCGTTTCTTGGGTCGTCATACAGACATTTCATCCGACTAGACATGTCAACCGATTTTCCAGTGCCACCGATTATACCTCGGTGGTACAACATTCGCACAGCGAGCGTAGAGGGTTGGGATGCGCTATATCATGACCGGATCCACGAATGGAACACCCTAGCTGCATTTTAGTTTTTCATATTTACTTTCTTTATTTGTAATCTTATTTGTACGTTGCTCTTTTATTTGTAATCCACGAACGGTTATATCAAAATTTAAAAACAGCACTGATAATATGTTTAAGTTGGAAGCTAAAAGAACAATCTAAAATGTTACAATCTTACAACATAATGTCCAACATAATGCTCTATAAATAAAATGACAAAACCATCAGTAATCCCTCCTCGACGACGACTCCCACTGCGCAAGGGTCTGTTTCAGACTATCAACAACAGCTCTCCCTGTTGCACTCATGCTGTCCTTCTCAAGAGAGAGTTTCTGTACGTCCTGCATTATCTTTCCCATCCACTGCATACAACAAAAAACAGAAGATGAAATACAATAACAACATATAAAACTTAATTAAAAGACAACGATAAATATAATATAAGACATACCGCTTCCATGGCAGTAGGCGGTGGCACATAATCATCATCGATGTGGACGAGATCTGCGATCAACCTCGGGTGCGAATACCGGTTGAACCATTCCATGTAGTAATGGCCACACATGGGAGTAACCCCAGAGGGCGGCCGCTGCAACTCCGCAGTCCATAAGCGGGCCACCATCGGAAACTGGTCCCACATCCCGGTCATGATATCCGGCCATTGCACGACGTAGTCCCTCGACGATGCAGGTCGGACCGCCTTCATCGGACATGCCGGGGGAGGAGGGACAACTTGGACAAATCCAAGCTGGCGAAGACAACGCTGGGGCATGTACGCCTCGACGATCTCACGATACTGAATGAGTCTCGTGTACAGGGTCCTGGGTACCCTAACACTAGGGTTCGGGCCGAAAGGCATCCAGTTCACCTGTACAATAACAACATATAAAATTTAATAACATGAATATAATATGTGCAAATAATAAAATGTAGAAACAATTTATAAACGTTACCTCTAAGGGGGACAGCCTGTCCAGCAATAACCGTATCGATCGGAGGCGGTCAACGGACTTCTTCTCCGAGCGCGGACTCCACGCACAAGCACGCGGCATCCCCTCATCAATAGGAACTGGGTCACGATGTGGTCGCAATGCAGGAAAGTACTCGTATATCCAGGTCTGCAATAGAGTCAGACACCCAGTGATACCTGCCGCGTCAGCCCGACTCGCAAATCCTAGTTGGCGATACAAATACGCCAACGTAGCCGATCCTCAGGAAAACTGGCCTACACTGTCGGGGTCACACGCCTCCACTATGTCGCGTGGCCTGAGCTTGTTTCCGCCGCTCTTATCCGGAAACAAGGTACATCCGAGGAGTAGAAAAACATAAGCACTCAGCTGTGCGTCGTGCGTCTTACGTGCACTGGGGTACAAACACCGCTGCAACACGGATGCGATCTTCACACCTCCGTGTTCCCAAACACCTAGCGCCTCGGTGTACAGTGCAGCCCTGTCCACCGCCAACAACTCCGCCAGCAAATCTGCCTGATCCGCATCAGCCACAGCACAAAGTCGTTTACCCTCAACACGAATCCCCAGAATGGCCTCGACGTCATGTAACATGATCGTCATCTCACCGAACGGAAGGTGGAAAGAGTTTGTATCCGGCTGCCATCGCTCAATGAAAGCCGTGATCAGCGTACTGTCAATCTTATCGTGCATGGTGGCAGGAACGTGATTCACCCCAGTGCCCTCCAGTCGCTCGAACATCTCGCTCTCCGCCGGCCAAGCCTCAGCCCATGTACGCAAAAAGCTACAAGTCTTTTCCCGGGTATGACATTTCAACAACCCCGTAACTGAAGGCCTCTCCTGGTCCTCCCAAATACGGGCAGTTATGTGTCCTAGAAAGCTAGGAATCACACTCCCGTCAACAGGCCCACCGGGCACCTCACTCCTAACAACCCAAGAATCATTACCGGCCCTCGACCGTTTCCTGCTTGCCCCAGATACAGTGGACGCATATGATGTGCCAGATCTACTAACAAACCTACCACCCCTACCCTTACGCACCTCCACCATATGTGTCTCGTACATGTCATCAACCCTCTGACTGAATGGACCGTAATCATCATACGATCCACTGCCATCGTCCACATCCTCATCCTCATCTGCGCCCTCCTCCTGCTCTTCCTCCTGGTCACCCTCCTCAGCATCATCATCGTCATCGTCATCCTCATCCCGACGGTGGATCCGTTCTCTACGAGCTGAGGCCGAAATACCACGGGATCTGACATGTTTATGCCCCGACCTCTCCACTGAATAGCTTCTACTAAGAAGCTCTACATTCTTCCCCGCACCATGACGACCCAGTAAATTCTACACAAAATTTTAAAATATATAAACATACAAAAATTTATACGAAAAATAGCTACCACTCCCAAATCAAATAAACTAAAACCATACAAATAATTGTAAACAAAATATAAACATAGAAAAAATATGACAAAATTGAAAAAATTTATAAAAATAAACAACAAAATATAAAAACATTTCAAAAATATATTACACAAAAAAAAATTAAAAAAAAATAAAAACAATATTTTATTTCAAAAAAAAAGGGGGGGGGCGCCTTGGCTGGACGCCCAGCCAGCAGTGGTGGCGCCAGCTGCAGACGCCGCCACCAGTGGGCTGGCGCTTGGGCTGGACGCCAAGGCCACGGCTGCGGCGCCTTGAATAAACGCCACAACCGTGGCTATGGCGTCCAGCCCAGGCGCCAGCCTACTGGTGGCGGCGTCTACAGCTGGCGCCACCACCGCTTGCTGGGCGTCCAGCCAGCGCGCCCCGCCTCCGTCACGGCGGTTTTTCCTTTTTTTTTTTTTTTTTTTTACAAATTGTACCTTGCCTCCTTGGGACCTCCTTCCCTCCGCCGCCGCCGCCAATTCCTTGTCTTGCCGCCTCGACATTGCCGTTGTTTGAATTTTTTTTTTTTTTTAGAGAGGTTCAAAGAAGATGAGCGATGAGAGTTTGAGTGATGAGGGTGTGAGTGTTTTTTTTTAGGTTAAGGGCAATATTGTCAAACCAAGTGAATTTTGTGGGCTTTATGTAGTAATTTGTGGGCGATGTTTAACAAATCCCATGTCTTTCCCCCTCACATGGTGGAATCGACCCTGAAATTGAGAGTATAAGCATATATTATCAACAACCAACAAACAACACAAGTCAATGATTAACAACATAGCCTTACTTAAAAAAAACAAAAAAAAAAACATACCTGCATATGCTTTCAAGTACATATCCTTTCTGTATCATTTATCAACATAGTCTTCAGCATTTTGATGCAAAATAAAGATGCATGTAACTGCATGGCAGCATGGAATTCCAACCATGTCCTACTTCCTGCAAGTACAAGTTCTTGCCTCCAAATTCACAATTACTTGATCAAAATGGTAGCTTACATTAAACAAGGATTCAGATGAAGGCATGACATCACAATGTGTAGCTCTGTCTTTCTCTTTCTCAAGCTTCATGTGAATCTTAGGGCAAAGAACTGAAGTACAAGCATCTTTCTGGTTGGACTCATCTTTTAACATTAAATGTTTGGGTAGGGCCCTCCTTATTGGCACCTTGTGCTGTGAATCTTGCTTTAGTAAAGGTTGAAAATTTTTTACAACAGGTGGGGGCTCACTGGGGTTTAACTGTGGGGAAACAATTCCATCAAACACATAAATTTCAATACATCTGCTTTTCTCAATTATACTCCTCAACTCCATCACTTCATGGTCTGAGTACACCTTCCTCAAACCATTATCTAAGGCCATACCAGGAACTAAATAAAACAGGTTGTCTATTTTTTCATAATCCCCACAATTTTTGGCAAAATCTTCCAGCCACACTACTACAAAAGTGAACTTAAGTAACATCCATTGGTAACACTTTTAAAATTTCAAGATTATTTAGTTTTATGTAACACTTTTGTAACATTGTATTACTAGGTAACATTTTTTGTAACACATTAATATTATGTAACACTTTACAGTAACACTTTGATATTAGGTATCATTTAGTAGTAACATATAGCGGTTTTATACAAATGAACATTGTTAATACCGATACAAATTAAAAACTAATCGGAGCCCTATAGTCTTTTTTTTCTAATTACTGGTATTTAATTTTTCAGTTTAATGTATGTTCTCCCTCATTTTCTGTATTTATTGAATCTCTCAGCCGCTGCCGCAACCATCGCCGGCCAAAAATTCTTTTTCCCCTTCCTTTTCTCACTCCTCTAGCTTGGTATTCTAGAGTTTTGTGAGATTTTACTTCTGCAATTCTCACTTTTTCTCTCCTCCAGCTTGGTATTCCAGGGCTTGACAAAATTTTGTGATTTTATTTCGAAAAATTCGTCTTTATTTATGAAATTCGGGCTTGATTTTCAGCGAGATCAATGAAATTTTCTCATCGCTTCAATAAATTAAAGAAATGTTGCAAAAGACAGTCAAAATAATAAAGAAGAAACGATTTCTAGGTCTGGTTTGTTTTTCTTCTTCAATTGTTGAATTTCTATACTATATTCATAATTTTTGGAATTTTTACATTGTTTGCCTTCATTTTCATTTTAATCGCAATGATGCGTGACTATGAGTTTTCCTATCAAGCTGTTTGATACTTTGATGTCAACATTATAGTTTGTTAATTTGTTGTTCCTATTTAATAAATTAAATTTACAATTATGCATCGGATTTTCTCTGATATATTTGACAAGTACTGTACAGGTAGGCTTTCGAAATTTTTTATAATTGTGATGAATGAATTGATAATTTGTGATTGTAAATAATTGGGTTTAGCGTTTAATTTATGATTGAATTTGAATTGGGGGTAGATTATGCTTGATTCCTTATGGGGGTTTTGTAAATAATTCTCATATTTTAATTAATATATTGAATTAGGTAGTTTGTAATTGAATTGAGTGTTGATTTTAGGGTTCTAACTCTAATAATTGAATTTTAGTTAAGGGATCAGTATGATTAAATTAGCAAGCTCTAAGTGCTAACAATCATTTTTGGGTATATATTATTCATAGGCTTTCCTCAAAATTCCATGCAAATTGGTGAAATTGGCGATTCGTAGAAGGATTAATAATGAATGCATTAGTTGCAAGCCCATGGAAGAGGTAGAAGACCCCCAAATTAAAGACAATGAAGTTTTGATCAAAATTGAAGCAATTACGCTTAAACGTGCAAATATCATTTAGAGGAAGGACTCTTTGGAACTATCCTGGTCTACAATGTTCTGGAACTATCCTTCAATTTGGCAACAATGTCACTCGCTAGAGAGTTGGTGATTAGGTTACAAATTTTACCTTTTCTGCTTTAATTTTCCAATTATTTGCTATTGCTTGAAGTTTTGTGATTTGGGTTTTCATAATTTTTAATAAAAGTTATAATATTGACAATATTTTATTTGTAGGGTGTGATTAACTAGTAGTTTTGTTCTGTCTGCGATTAAATTGATTGATTTATCATATGTTAGTTTGTGCATTTTCTCTTTGCAGTTGATATGGTTTATTTCTAAATAGAAAATGATAAATGTTGGTTCAACATGTTGTTGATTGATGGTAGTGGAGGTAAGCTAAATATTGTTATATAAGCTGGTTGTCTGATTGATGCAGTAGAATGACTAGTAATGCTAAAGATGAAATGCATGTAGAGCTGGCCAAAATTGCCTTTGACAGATTTGATTTTACCATCTAAAGTTTCTTGTATCACATTTTGAACCATGTAGATCCTAAAGGGAAATTATCATGACTAGATATGCATTTAATGTTAATATTTATACAACATGGGTCTTAATTAATTCATTATTACTTATCGTTATTCATTAAATAAAAAAGAAATATATCTCATGAAACTAACAAAAAAGATTGTGTGGGCATATTTGAATTGCTATGTATCAAAAATTACAAAATTACTTTTAGTGCAATCGTAACATAATTTGAATGTGGCTATATCCTCTTAATCTAGTATGGTAGTTCATTTTATACACAAATCTATAATTCCTTATTTCTGTATAATTGCACTTTACTAGTTCAAAAATTTGGTATGAAGTGTACGTTTAGTTTATCTATTGTCAGTGTTCTAATTTAGAATTTTAGAGTAAGTATGGCGTTTGAGTTATACTTGTTATGATTTTTTTGAAGGTACAATTCTCTTTTGGTAGAGAATGAGTCATACGTACATACTTTTTTCTTAAAGTATTGGGCAGATTTCCGTAATCTGATCTTGTTGCAGCTAGAGTTACCAATTAGTTATTGATTTAATACTCTACAATTGTTAGCTTCTACATAATGAATTTACAAATATACATAGTTTCATGAGCTAATATAAATTAGATCATTATCATCCAAATATATCAAAAGTCAAAATCACAAAGCAATACTGAAGGAATTTTGGAATTAAGATAGTGTGATTAACAAAATGTGAACCACGAGGCTCACTACTTGCAAATTTTAATTGTGAAATAATTAGTGCAAAGAATTTTGATTTCTAACATTTGTGAGTCAAGTTGGTGGTAGTAGGCCTAGTAGCCTTTTTAGCGTTTTATCTGTGTACTTCTAATTTATAAGGGAAGGCAAAAGGAAGCTTCTATACGATCAACTGTCAAGGGCCTTGAGATAGTTTGTTGTGACTTGTGAGACTAGAGGAGCCTACCAAATTTTGTTGATCAATTTGACTAGTACACTTTTCTTTTTAGTCTACATTTGATTTTTTTTATATATATCATTCTCTTTTGTATTGTAAGATTTTGTGAGTGCCCCGTTCTTTTTAGTCGATTAGAAGTTCTAAACATATCAGTAAACCATCTGCTTGTGGAACTTACCTATCCACCATATTGGATAACTGCAAAGGTGAAAATTTTCTTTTTTATATGTTCTAATATTGCTTTCGTAATTCCATGAATCAATAATCAAATCAATTCTCTTAGTCTTACTATGCAGGACTTTAAAGTCTGAATATTGAACGATGTTCGATCACGTACGAAACAATTCAAATAGTTGCTAATTTGTTGGATTTTGGTTATGTACTGTCTCAGATCTCTTAGTGGGTAAATAACTTGGTCAATATGTTATTTTTGATACTTTTTCATCCTTTAATTGAGCTTCTAACATAAATCTCTTTTTTTTTGGCAGGACATAACAGCCCTATATTCATTAACTCTTTATCCAACTGACTATCAAATCTTGGGAAGCTATAAAGGTGAAGGGTTTTCATACTTATTTGCGGCTGTCATTTTGAACCTTAACTTTCTTATAACTGTGATAGTTGTAGGTTTTCAGAACATAGATTGTAGTGAATAATTAATGAACTAAAATTATTGTAAGTGTGGTTAGCATCTCCATTTTATTTGACCAACCTTGGCTGATGCACTTGTGTTTACATTCCAGAGGATATACTCCCACCCCAACAGACAATACTCACAAAAAGGGAGGCAGCAGCGGAAGGAGGATGTGAATGATCGTGTTTATGCATTGTTTAAGCATTGTAGTTGTATTTTATTTTAATGAAATTGTAATAATTTTTTATTTTGACACAATGAAATTGTAATATTACAAGAATTTATTTATAATAAAATCTAAGTTTATTTATATACATTGGTTTGTTTATCAATTTTAGTGAAAAAAAGCAAAAAAGTTATTATTTTTTTTTTTTTTTTTTGGCATAAAGGGCACTGACCTATCTAAAAAACAAACCGGTGCATATAATAATAATGATGGAAAAATGATTGAAAAGTGTTACCTAATAATGAAGAAGGTGTTACTTAAGTTTGCAAAAGCGATACACAATGTCAGATAAAGTGTTACTACGTGATTGAAAAATGTTACTAAAGATTAGTAAGTGTTACATAAGGAATTAAAAGGAACACTATAAAAATGATACTAATAGTATAAACAACGTTACATAAAAGGGTTTATAGTAACACTTTTAAAAGTGATACCATACGTGACCCAAAGTGTTACATAAGGCCTTAGGTAACATGGGCGGATGTATCACCCACTAAAGTGTTACCTATTGTATATAATAACACTTTTAACACTTTATGTAACACTTTTTGGGTGTTACTTAAGGTCAGTTATGTACTAGTGCCACCACCAACACTACTTGTCAATATCAATGGTAAAAGTCTTCCCTTTTCCACCTTTATATACTAACTCTCCATTTGAAATAGTTTTAAAAACACCACCATACCAATACTTTAGTGTGACAGCAGAGAAGGGATCATCCAACTACCAAAAAACCACAACATACACAACAATATCCAGCATTTAAAACCAATTCTAAGTTCAAAACCGCAAATTAAGAATTAATATAGCAAAACAGAGCATATAATTCGCAATTCAACAATCAATTATCAACAACAGGGCACTTTTAATACACTACCCTAAACAACCAAACAAAGCGTCACCAACCAAAAAATTCAAAATTTCCACAACACACATACAATTACTCAAAAAAGGAAAGGAATTTAGGGTTCGTTGATCACATACCTCCATTTGACGCGCTTCGATTCGAGAGCCCACAACAATCTTTTGTGCGAAAGTCTTCGATGATTTCACCAAGTAAATCGGGAGTGAAAGATAATAGTGACTGGAGTACGGATAGAGAGGAGTAAATGGAGGTGGTGCTCGATTTTTGATGGTGATGGTGATAGTGATAGTCGTGGTTGAAGTAGTAATGGAGTTTCATTCATTTGGGAAGAAAACCAAAAGTCAATAAGTCAACAATAATAACCCTCACTTGTGTAGCCGGTTGCCAGTTAGCAAGAGTTGATGTGAGAAAAAAGGGGTAAAAGGTTGGACTAATTAGGAATAAACAAAAGGTGGGATTAATATGGGAGAACGGACAAAAGGTTGGATTATTCCCGTTAAATTTTCCTATCTAAAATATAGTTCAATCATAGTATTATGCAGTACCAACAAAACTCAACATCATACAAATTATAATCAGCAGTAATGATTTATTGGTGAAATTCATACTATATAATTCAGTAAATAAATAACACTAACCTTGATGACTGATTTCCTTTTTATATTAATTTTTTTCGTCTGCTCAATTGATTAAAGATGGTGCTAATAACGTGTTAAATATGGAAAAAAATTATAGAGAGATGAGAGAAAATTGTTACGTTGTATCTCTTATTCCATCTAGTACGGGATATATGTACATGTACATTACCTAGGGTTCCATCAATGGATAAGACCAAATACCCAACTCTAGAGTATTCTAGATAGTACATGGGATAATAGTCTACTATATTTAGATATCTTATAACACTAATGTATATTTTTAAAAGCATAGTAATGAAAAGGAAAAGTTGCTAATTTTTTTTTAAAAAAAAATATAACTTTTTTTTATTAAAAAAAAAATGTTTGGCCAAATTTTTTTAACATTTTTTATTTAAAAAATTAAAAAAAAAACTAAAAATTTTAAAAATAAATATAAACTCCCCTACCCAGCTCCTATCTCACTGGGAACCACCCCCCCACCGACCCACCCCACCTGAAACCACCCCATCTTAGCTCCCATCATCGTTTTCGACCCCCTTTTCTTTTCCGCCAACATTGCCGGGAATAGCACGATCTTTGAGCGGTCTTCCAAAAATAGTACCACTTTTCGATTATTTCAAAATAAAACGATTTTTCACATACGTCCGCTATATATGGTACGTGACCAATTTGTAACCTGTTTTATAGTTATCTATGATATTTGTCCTAATATCTTTGGCCAATTTTTTTAAACATTTTTTCTTTAAATTTTTTTTTAAAAAGTAAATATTTTTAAAATAAAAATAAACCCCTTACCCAACTCCCATTTCACCGGGAATCACCCAACAAACCACCACCAACTGAGGGCAAGGTCATCGGACACAAAAAAACGATTACAAATGATAAAAATTGAACCAAAGATATTGTGACATAAATGGGTTGGAAAGTAGACTTTCAAAGCTTTCCAATGATGTATTATGTGTCTAAATCCGAGTTTGGGATCAAAAAGTTATGATAAAATAAAAAAACGCAAAAAAACTGGAAAATTCTACGGGGTAAAACGCTTTTCGAATCTCCCAGGGACTTTTGATTATTTTAGGTGTTTCTCCTTTAGAGTTTTGGAAAAATTGACGTTTTCTCCCTCCAAAAAAAACAATTTTAATTCCGACGATGTGTTCGATGACCTTGCTCTCGGTCGGTGGTGGTTTGTTGGGAAGAGAGGATGTTAGATTAACTTAGAACATGGAATACACCTGAGGGTATGTTTGTCTATTCATATTTAAATGTGGGCGTTACTTGGTAAAATAAGGGTGTTGTTTAGCTTCTCACTTTATTATTTAGGTTTTTTTAAATCAAATTTGTAAAATACTAATTGAACCAAAGATATTGTGACTGTGTCATGGGGTAACCTGTAAAACAAGTTACAAGTTTTTTGTACCATTTATAGCGAAAGTATGTGAAAGGTATTTTATTTTGAAATAATCGAAAGGTGGTGCAGTTTTTGGAAGGCCACTTTAATGTCGTGTTATTCCCGGTAAATTTTCCTTAAAAAATGTACACTAGAGTGCCATATTTGGTTGGATGAATGTCCCCTATGTTTTGTATCTTTGCTAGACAAAGCTCAATTATAATGATATGGGTTGTGTAAAAAAAAAGGGTTTATATAATATTGAACAATGTTACTGATAGAGAAGGAGAGTGGTCTTAAAGGAGGGAAGAAGTACATTTTAAGAAAAATAGAGGTCACTTACATCCAGAGTATCCGACGAGATATGTAATTTCAAAATATATATACTTTTTATATGTAATTACATCCATGGAAAACAATATATAATCTTAATATATATGTAATTTTAGAATATATATAAAGTTCACCATGGAAAACAATTTCAACCAGAGGGGAATTTGTTTTTTTTTTGTTTTTTTTTTTTTTGAAAACAAGCCCCTAAGTTGGGCATCTCATTCATTCGTAGTGGAATCAGCAAGAAGCATTGGTACAATAGGTAATGGGAAGTCAGACTCCCATACACGACACCCTACAGACCATGGAGGCAAATGAGCTAATTTATGAGCCACTTTATTACATTCCCTATGAGTAAACTTCCACGAAATAAACACAAAAAAACTAGCAACGTGATAGATGTCATCCAAGATAATATGAAGAGAGCTATTCCCTCTCTCTCGTGCACGAATTACGTTCACAATGCTCAAGCTATCACTCTCAACCTCGACCTCCTTAAAACCATGATCCAACGCCAACCACATTCCCAGTAGTATAGTTTTAGCTTCGACAATGTTGGGCTGCCAACGATCCTCCACGCACCACGCTGCTGCAATACAAGCATCTCCTTTCTCATTTCTCACAACCGCACCCGCTGAGGATCCCACTCCCTCGACCAAACCTGCATCAACACTCAATTTCACCCTTCCCCTAGCTGGTAGATTCCACCTCTGTCTCGCAGCGCTTCCCCCACCAACCACAACTGCATCATCTTTCTGTAACTCACTCGTGAGCACAATCGATTTCTTGGGGTTGCAAGCTTCCCCTTCAAACACCCATTTATTTCTTGCAGTCCATACTACCAAACAAATAGTCATAAATAATCCATGTTCCTTGCTAGGTAAACGCTCCAACCAAGCCAAAGCAACCTCCCCAAAGTGCTGCGCTGCTACCCCAACTCACACCACTCTCATCCCAAATAAGCCTCGCTATGACACACTCCTTTAGACAATGAAGCTCAGATTCCTCCTCTGCCCCACAGACAGAACACATTGGAGAAATACTCAACACCCTCCTATATATGTAAACCACGGGCTGTTGGAAGAGCCCCAACACAAGCCCTCCAGAAAAACAATTTAACTCTAGGAAGCTAAGGGTGTTAGCGTGCCATAACTTTTTCCACACAAGCCCTCCAGAAAAACAATTTAACACAAGACGAGACCACTGTCTCCACATTCATTTCCCCAAAAATAGCCCGATACACCGACCTTAGAGATTAAACACCATGCCTCTCTAAGTCCCAACAGATAGTGTCACGAGGTAGACAAAATATAATCGGTATACTTAATATCCTATCTCTTTCAAATGGCAAAAATAACTCATTCACCATGGAGACATTCCATCAAGCTTCAACTAGATGCAGCAAATCACACACACGCAAATCATCCGGAGCCTCGCCTTTTGGAGAAATGACTTTCGGAGAAGAAGTACCTGGGATCCACAGGTCCTTCCATACCATAATATCCAAACCATCCCCAACTCTCTACCTCACACCTCGATTCACCAACCACTTTGCTCCCCAAATACCCCTCCAAGTATAACTTGGAGAAGCTCCAATATCTGAGCTCAAAAAATCACCATCAGCATAATAGCGTGCCTTGAGAACTTTCGCCACCAAACTCTCCGGATATTGAATAAGACACCAAGCTTGCTTCCCCAAAAGAGTCGTATTAAAAGACTTAAAGTCACGAAAACCCAAACTGCCCGCTGCCTTTGGTTCTTAAAGCTTTTTCCAAGAAATCCAGTGAATCTTACGCTCCCCCTTCTTTTGCCCCCACAAAAAATTAGCAACCATCGAACGCAACTCATCACAAAAAGAGGATGGGAATTTGAACACACTCATCGTGTAGGTCGGGATAGATTGGGCCACTACCATAATCAAGAATTTCCGACCCACTTTTGATAACATTCCCCTCTTCCACCCTTGTAACCTCTTTCACAACTTCTCTCTAATACCTTTTGTAAGAACTCTCTTCGACCTTCCCACCACTGTAGGCAAGCCAAGGTACTTATCATGAATATCAACAATATTAACCCCAAGTAACTCAGCTAGCTCCTCCCTTCTAGTAAGTGGAGCACCCTTGCTAAAAGACACCGTTGTTTTCCCTAAATTCACCATTTGTCCCAACGCCTCCTCATAGACACTTAAGATATCATTAACCGTCTGAACCTCCTCTGCACTGGCCTTGTAAAAAATAATACTATCATCTGCAAACAACAAATGGGAAATGGAAGGAGCCGTAGATGCCACCCGAATACCATGTAAACCACCACGTTCCACTACTCTAGTCAACAGTCTAGACAGAGCCTCTGCACACAAAATGAACAAATATGGGGATAGAGGATCACCTTGTCGTAAGCCCCTCGACGGAACAAACTCCCTAGAAGGCTCCCCATTTATAAGAACCGAGAAAGAGACCGAAGAAACACAATACATAACTCTATTCATCCAATTTTCTGCAAAAACAAGTCTCATCATCACAGCTCTAAAAAAAACCCCACTCAACCGTATCATAAGCGTTTGCCATATCAAGCTTCAAAGCCAAATACCCATTCTCACTCCCCGAGGTCTTCATATGATGAAATATCTCAAATGTGACCAAAATATTATCCGTAATCAATCTACCCGGGGTAAAAGCACTCTGATTAATCGAAGTAATATCCGACAAAAAAAATTTCAACCTATTCGCAAGCACCTTGGTGATCAACTTATACACAACATTACACAAGCTTATCGGTCAAAAATCACCCATTTTATCCGGCTCTTTCATTTTCGGAATTAAAGCAATAAAAGTATCATTAATAGACTCCGTAATAGCATCACCATTCAAAACTCCAATCACAAATTCGCAACCGTAGGACCAACAATATGCCAATAAGTTTGAAAAAAATAAGGGACACATACCATCCGGCCCCGGAGCTTTCAAAGGGTGCATCTGTTTGAGTGCCGCAAAAACCTCCTCCGCCGTATAATTTGCATTGAGAACCGCATTCATATCATCAGAGACTCTCCAGTCAACCCCTGCCAACGTCTCCTCATAAGAGCTCAGATTCGAATATGTAAAAAGCTTCTTAAAGTAACCAACTGCCACATTATTTAAACCTTCCACATCTTCATATTTTACCCCGTCATCATCCACTAATGAAGCAATGAAATTTTTATCCCTTTACTGCGAAGCTTTGCGATAAAAAAAAACTAGAATTTCGGTCCCCTGCTGTCAACCAAAAAGCTCTAAACCTTTGACGCCAATACATTTCTTCATAATGCAGCAGATTAGAAATTTCTTTCACAACTCGACGTCGCTCATTCACCTTCCCAGCAGCTCGACTTCCCCTATTTAAGATGCTCAAACGTTTTCTCTTCTTACGAATCTCACGAAAAATCTGACCATACTCCTTATTACTCCAGGATTTTAAAAGTTCAGCACATAATCCGAGCTTAGTCACGACAGAAGGTCCTCCCAAATGCCACCCTTCTTCTACTACCCCTTCACAATTATCACTTTCGGTCCAAATGTGCTCAAACCGAAAGACACTTTTATCTTTTTTACTCGTGTTACCCTCATCCCCAAGTAATAATTTGATCGGGGCATGATCCGACCACTCCTTCTCCAAATTAACCACTTTCGCTTTTGGGAAAATATCCCTCCACCCTTGTAACGCCAATGCCCTATCCAACCTGCATTGGACATTGTTCTCACCTATTTAACCATTATCCCAAGTGAACTCATAGCCAGTAAACGGGATATCTTGCAAATTGCACACATTAATTACCTCACGAAAATCCTCCATTTGCCACAAAGCCCTGTCACACCCTCCTTTCTTCTCATTATCCGACAAAATCTCATTAAAATCCCCAATGCAAACCCACTCTCCACTTCCCTGTACAAATAAGTCACTCAAAAGCTTCCAAGATAAGTGACGATTATGCACCTCAGGCCACCCATAATAACCAGTAAGACGCCACTCCCTCAGACCAAGGCCTTTTTTAATTAACACATCGATATGGTGTAAAGACATCGAGCACAAATCAACCTCGATACCTGTTATCCAAAAAAGAGCTACACCCCCAGACCGACCTCTACTATCCACTGCCAAACTATCATATCCTACCAATTTGTCACGCACTTGCATCATCTCACCGCTACTCAACTTCGTCTCCGTCATGAAGATAAGAGACGGGGCCTCTCTTCGGACCAAATTCCGAAGATTATTAACAGCAGAGGTGTTACCCAGCCCTCTACAGTTAGCACTTAAAATACTCATTGGGCTTGGCGGGGCTGCTGAACAACAGTCTCCGCCTCACACCATTCAGATAAAGAGTCATTTAGTAGCACCTTCTTACTTCCTTCCCTGCCCAAATCATTCTCCTCCCTACCTCTCTTTCCACTCACTTGTTCCCCCATCAACATCCATATTACAGACCTTTTTTCCTCCCCCCCCCCCTCTATTATGCCTCCTCCATGTTTTTCCACTTCCACTAGTCACCTTGTTGCTGACCAAATTCGAGCTCAGGGAAGAGGATAGTAGCCCCTCCTCCTCCCCCCTCTTATCAGTGTCTCCCAACCCAACCATTCCACCACTCAAATTGTTCTTTTCCACCACTCTATTATTTCCTTTCTTGCTCACAATAAAAGTTGACCCCCCTTCCCTTCTTCCCACTCTTCTTCACGTGCATACTTCCCCTCCCCTTACTTGCATCTGACACTCCAACAACAAAACTCAAAGGGGGCATTACGCCCTCTTCATTTCCCCCATGCTCCACCGTACTCCCTATTACAACCCTTGACTCATTCAACAACAGTTCACGAGTATGACTTTCTTTGATATTTTCGATCATCGCAGGCTTCTTCACAGCGTTCACATCAAACACACTAGCAAAATCAGCCGACTCTTCTTCGCTCGCATCATCAAGTTGACCCCCTAGCCCCTCTTCATTGTCTCTCGTAATAAATAATTGCTTCCTCGAAGCCACAATCGCTTCGAGTTCCTCTACCTCCTTCATTCTACCCTTTCTCGGTGAGGCTCTCAACCATCTTCCCCACCCTAATTTATTTTCTTGTTTTCCTTCGAAATCATAACACAATCCCTCTCCGCATGACCAATTCTACCTCACGCAAAACAAAAGAATGTCAATCTCTCATAGGCAAATTCCACAACAATATAATTTCCTTTCCAGCCTTGTCTCGAATTTTCTGGCACCTACGCAACGGCTTGTTCACATTACTCATCACCTTAACCCTTCGAAATCTATCTAGCCGCAACTTGTCTTCTTCAATCTCCAACACCTCCCCAAGGTTCCACGCAATCTCCTTCACATCCGTATCTGATCTGCAATTGAACGGGAGAAATTTAATCCTGACCCAAAAAGGTGAGTGGCATAGGGCTATACGCTCAGGTTGTTCGTCCCCCTCCACCTCTTTGATCACAATCAACATATTATCAAAGCACCACGGCCTACCCGACAACACTTTCTCCTTATCACGCCAATGAAATAATAGGAATGCATATAAATTAGGGCCAAGAACCCTAATTACAATCTCATTAGTCAACACCCATACTTTCGTTATCGTAGCCTTGAAAGCATCAACGTTATATGGTCTATCAATCATAACCTTCCCAATTAGCAGAAGATTAAATTTATCGTTCATAGGCAGAGCATCAGTGGCTCCTAAGTCCACAACTCCATTTTCCTCATCTTCCAAATTAAGATTTGCATATCTCGAAACCAGATCATCCGCCATATCCCTTGATCAGAGAGAACGAATGCAAAATTTCAGTCGTCGAACATAGCAGAAAAGCCCTTGCCCTAGCAGAGAGAAAGACCCTTTCTTTCGAGGGAGAATTATATAATTAGAATATAAAAAATGGAATTTGTTATTTCTGGAAGACAAGAGAATAGTATTTTTTTAAAAAAAAAAAAAAAAATTTCAGAAATTAAGTATGAGTATTGAAAATGACAAATAATTTGAATTTTAATATTATCATGGTAACAAAAATTTCATTTTAAATTCAATTGAAATTTCAATTTGAGTGGAATTTGGAGCCTATTTCAACAACTTATAAATTAAAAAAAACCTTTTCAAATTGTATGTAGGCCTCACATAGAAGGATCGTATGTGTAGCCTATCCCTACAACATTCCCCTACTTTGTTTAATTTATTTTGATTATCTGTAACTATAAAGTCTATTACTGAATGCTTGATTTATTACTAACTAAAGAAGTTTAGTGCAACTTTAATAATTGTAGATATGAACTTGCTTGCAATATTAAATAATCATTTGCTACTAGCTTGACCATTGGAGCTAGAAAATGCAATTAGCTTGGACAATCAAATATGCTTAGAAAAAAACTTGCCAAAAACAAAAAAATAAAAATAAAATGAAATACAAGTATGAAAAATGTTAATTAAGGAGGTGTGGTTTAATTAAATATTAAGCTAATAATAAGTCATTAGAGCTCAAAGTAGTCAAAAAGTCAATTAATTTATTGACTTACTAAGTACTTCGTATATGACACGGTAAAATAATTTGACAATTAGTTTGCTATTGAAAATGCTTACAAATCTAAAATCTAAAATTGAAATTAAAAAAGTATAAAATCTTATTCCCACTATACAATCATCATTTCCCTTTAATAAATTAACATTATAATCCTTAAATTAAAAAAAGAAAAATTTGCAAATTACAGCCATTTAAAGTTCGTATTTTGCAAATTGCAGCCATTTATAATTTTTTTTGCAAATTGCAGCCCTAAAGTTCGTATAAATTGTAAATTGCAGCCCGATACAATTTTTTCATCGGTTTACATGTTGAAAAATCTTCGATTAAGGTTTTAGGGGTCATTTTCTTTCTTAGGGTTCCGAATTGAGCTCGAAATTAGCAAAAAAAATAACGCAAGTATTTCGTTTTGCGTAACAAAAATGTATCGATTTGTGGGAAACTATAAATGTGAGACACTTACGTTATTTTTTTGCTAATTCCAAGCTCCATTCGGGCCCTTAAGGACTAAAATGACCCCTAAAACCTTAACCGAAGATTTTTCAACATATAAACCGATGAAAAAATTGAATTGGGCTGCAATTTACAATTTATACGAACTTTTGGGCTGCAATTTGCAAAAAAAAATTTAAGTGGCTGCAATTGACAAAATACGAACTTTAAATGGCTGCAATTTGCAAATTTTCCTAAAAAAAAAAAAATCAACAATATAATTTGTTCTTACACATTCTATAAATAGAAATAACAGTTGTTTAAATTGGTTAAAAATAATTTTCTCTTTTTTTTTTTTTTTTTTTTTTTTTTTTTTTTTTTTATTTTAAAAAAAGCCTCCTCAAACTTGAGCTGATACATCACCTGAGCTAGTCAAGCTCTCCTTTGAATTCCTTTTGACACTCACTTTCTCTCTCCTCTCAGTTCTTGTACTTTTATTCCAATTTCTCGACCAATTTCTCGCAATTTTATTCAATCAGGTACCTCTAATTTCTTTATATTTTTCATTTTTTTTTTTCTTCTTTTTGTTGAATTTCACCTTAGGTTGTGATGAATTTTTCCAGAAATATGAAATATGTTGTTTTGAATTTAATGTTAGTTTCAATTTGGGAAGTGATTGATTTTGGCGGGTTAGTACTTATTTTGTATTTGGGTGTTGGATTTTGTTGTTCAGTTTCAAGCTAAAGTTGCTAAAAAAGGGGATTTATTGCATCAATCAACGAATTTGACAGGGGAATTCAGGTATTTGTTGCCTTTTGATTAAAATCCCTAATTTTATTTATACTTTAATCATATTTTATTTATTAGGGTTTGATATTTGTATGTTTGTTTGTCTGTTAGCGAGTTAAAGCTTGATGTGATTATGCTTAATATTTGGTATTTATTCTTGAAGAATTGTTTTTTGTTTGTACTTTCTGTTTTTGTGTTGTATTTGTAGCTCAGTGGGGATTATGATAATGCTTATAGATGTGTTGCATCGTTTCGAGTTCGATGTTTCGGTTCTTAGTTTTCTTCATCTCGAACAAATGATAAAGGGAGGTATACAAAAGATTCAGTTTACATTCAATTGCGCGCACCTCTCAAAGATGTAAAGAGGCATATTAGGAATCACTTAATGACAATGCTTCACGAGTAAGCAAATAAGAAGAATGGCGAGGTTAGTTGGTTTGTGAAGGACATTTTTTGATATTATCTAAAGATTGCTTGCTCTAGTAGATCACAATATTCGTTATATGCTGGGTTGAAAGATAGAAAATGCAAATGATTTGTATTTTAATCCCGACAAAGGGTATAACATTCGTCTCCACCTTTGGTATTGCTAAGATATAAAATGATTTTTGTGTTGTGAATTTGGATTATGTCAAAGAAATGAGAATGGTAAAGTACCCTACATGTAGTTCATCAAACAAGGGTAGGACCTTATGAGGAGATGCAATACCAAGTGTTGAATATTTAGGTTCCTATAGACGTCTACATTTCTGCTTTGATTCTTCACATAATTGTGTTTGTGTATGTGTGCAAACTCTACACCTCTTGTTTGCTTCATTGGAGGCCACTAGTTTCCATGGTCACTTATGTCCCGCTAGACATTGCACTTCATGGTACCATTATCAATTTATCAATAAGATGTATTATGTAAATATCAGCTAGATTCCTTTTGGTCAATCTATTTCTTATCTATATTTGGTTGTATATTGAAGTTTGTAATATGATTTTCTAGGCGATCAGCCAATTATTTGGCTTTGCTTATTCAAATGTTTGTCCTAACTAAGCTATCCTCTCACTGATGCTGAATGATTATTATGATTGTGAAAAGTGCTCTCAAAAATTTGCTAAATCTAATAGTGTACTTTTAGCACTAATGCTGTTTTCGTGTTTTTTTCATGCTGTTAAATAAAAAGTTACATTGTGCAGCCTTTGAAGGATACGTAAATGATAAATGTAATTTGAGGTTTGTGACTGGAAAGATGTAAATTAACTCAATTGTCCCTTTGTTAAATTACTACATGTTTGGTTGGCAGTAATAAAGTTATGTGATGATAATAAGTTCATATTTAACTTCGTTAGGAGGGTCTTATGACTCTTGACTCCATGTTAATTTTTCTTCACCTCTAATAATGTGTTGATCTTCTAAAATTTCCATTGCCATTCAATACCACCACCATGATTTTTAGTGGTGATGGAAATTTATGAAGACTCCACACAATTGGGAATGGAGTTGCATAATTTTGGACGCTGACATGGGACTTCCCTTGCAAAATTGCATTCATGGTTACTATTATTACTGCCATCAATCATCATCTAGTGCTGACCAACCGGGCCGTTACTTCTTATATATGCCACATCATTTTCTGACATGTATGAATGAGAGTAGCATAGACTTTTATGTTTTATGATTATGCTCTTTTTATTTCTTAGCGTCATAACTCATAAATCAAATGTCCTTGAAATCGAAAGAAAAGTTAGATTTTTATATTGGCTGGCCTTCCTTTAACACAGCTAGAAGTTTGGTTGTTTGAGATTCCTTTCTATGATTATTGATTAAAGCTAATTACCATTTGGTAAGTGGCCATCATTGTTTTACTTGAACATTACTGCTAATTTTGGCCTCAGGCTTACAATTTGATGCCTTCGTTTGAAACATATGGGAGACCAGAAAGAGGAGGATTTGTATCGTAACTTCTCAAGAAAGGATCTCCAAGGCTTGTGCAAGAAATATGGTCTACCTGCTAATAAGTCAAACTCTGAAATGGCAACATCCTTGATTCTTTACTTGGAGGTATTTTACTGATGTCGCTATCTGTCAGATGAATGAGGAAAAAGCTAGTATACATTTTTTTATGGAGATGTCTTATAGTCAACTTTATATTCGGTTCTACACTTTACATTTTTTCAATTTTCATGTTTTTTTTTTTTAATTTATTTGCCTTTACGGTGCCTGCTCAATTCCAGTTGGCTCTGTGAATTATCTGCCATTATATTTTTCAGTTGATTGGACTTCTGTTAGATTGCAGCGCTACTTTTTATGACTTTCTTGTTTTTGGTGCTCATATAATTGCAATGGTTTTATTGTGTTAATAGTAATTGCATGAGAGAATTGAGTGTTTTTTTGGTGTTAAATGTGCACTTTTATTAGTATGAGCGAAGCAAGTCATATTTAATTTTAGTGACTTCCTCTAAATGCATTTTCCTGGTGTGATAATTTGAGGCTGATGTGGTAACTTTAAGAGAAGTCATGGAGCTAGTTGTATTTTACTATTGTCGGGAAACTTATTTTCAAAACCCTACTTGTGTTACATTGATTATTGAGGAGTTAGTAGTCATGGACATAGTAGAAATCAGGGTAAATAAAGGAGATATTACATAACATACTTCACTGTATTTAAATTCTCAAACAGCATTGTATTTTTGAGACCCAAGTGGGTTTTTAAATAATCTGAATCGGGCTATAGAAAACTCTCTAGTACTATGACAATGACTGGATCAACTTTCTTAATAACATCGTAAGGGAAACATAGCCTGAAATTGTCCATTCTTTGACCAGCTTTCCAGTAATGATCCTGAGTTTTAATATTTGTCAGAAATATCATCCTCGTAAGATATTAATGATTTATTTACAAATGTAAATAGTATTTTGGTTGTAACTGAGACAACTGTGGAAAGTTAAGAAGCAGGTCCTGTTAGAAAGGGGAAGGAATTTTGTTGTTTTCAGTTAACTTATCTAGTTTTCAAAATGGAACATTAATGTTTTAAAATTTCCATTAGGAGATTTGATACCCTCATGCCATCATGGTTCAGGCAATACTCAAAGACCATTCCCAAACTCTGGATTATATGAACTAAAGCATCATAGGGGTTTTGTCAGCCAATTTTTTTTGGAGGATGGATTCTTTAATTTTCCTACTTTTTTTTTTTTTTTTTTTCCTTTTAAAATCTATTCTGTATTTCTGATCCTATTGTGTGAGCAATCTTACATTTGTGATGTACTAAGAAAATAATAATAAAAAAATATTGAACTACTTGCTAAAGTTCATGTTTCTCAGTCAAGTAGTGACACAGTTATTGAGATTAAACCTAATGTAGTATATGCATATATGGCCAAGAATATAGAAATTAGGTTAGTGATCCAAGTGCATGAAAATGTTTGAACGTATTTATTCTATGGAACATATTCCTCACAGTTACATGTTTTGAATTGAAATTGAGCTGCCTTGTTTCTTTAGGAAAGGACACTAGGTTTACTGGTAAAAAGTAAAACTCCTACTGTTGTGTAAAGATGCATGAATGGAAAAAATAACGAAACGGAAAGCTTTAATTGATCTCATGAAATGATGGCTAGTGAGTGATGGAAATTGGTGTGGCAGGATTTCTCATGGAACTCATTTTTAAAGTCTTTCCAAAAGGTATCCTTTATTCATGTGAGAGCCTTAGCCTTACATTCAAGGGGTGCTTCATTCAGAAACTATTTTTTTTTTTGCTGATAAACTTCAATTTGTAGAACTGTTGCATATGAACTTTTGTTTTATGAAGTGTGAAACCTTTCTTTTTTCTATCACCTTTTCTCTCATCTATAACTAAAGTAGTATTGGTAGTGAATATTGCATTAATTTGAAGGAAAATAATATCACATTTAGTCGTGTAATGGTACGAATTGTAATCTATAATGTAAATCCAAGTTGATAAGTATATCTAATTGAGATATGGAAGGTTTTTTTGGGCATAAGGTTTTAGGCTACTAGGAAGGATACATTGTCTCTTAAAGATGAAGAAATGTGAAAGTTAGGTTTTCCAACATATAGTTAATGTTGTCTTGTATTTATGCATAAATGATAAATTTATGTGAATATTGAACACAGTTCTATAACCAAAATTAATGTAATTAATGATATTCCAAATTCCAATCACAAAAACTTGCCAACGTTTTGGATGGAAGTTGTGTTAAGAAGAAATTGGTTGATAAGGTGGAAGTAAGTGTTATCTCCATGAAGGTGAGATGCAAGAGGGCAAGGTCTAGATGGTTTAGTCACTTGATGATAAGTCAGTTAGAAAACCAATACTTAGGATTTCAAGAGAGAGGGGCAAAGCATAAGACTAATGAGAGTTTGGGGGGGGGGGGGGGGGGGAGGGGGGAGGGAGGGGGTGGCCATACAGGGCTTTAGTTCTGGTATTCAATAAGGAAATGTGGAGCTCTAGGGTTGTTATAGTAGACGTTAATTCGTCAGCCTAACTAGATTTTGTGCTTTCTCATTGCTTGAGACCTTGCCAATAGGATGTTTGTGTGCTTGCATGTGGCTTTCGTTTAGCTACAAATACTTAATATATCATTTTGCTACAATTACTTTTTACTTTGTCCTAAACGTGACAAAAATTTCTTATATTTTACTTTCTTAAAACATAATAAATTCATTAATTTATTTATGTTTACTGGTTGAGATTGTACAGGAATGATTCTTTGATTTTCCATTCTACTTGCATGTTTTCCATTGTCCCATAGTAGCTTGCAAACTGCGAAAAAGGTAACACATTAAGGCCTGCTGATGTTGGGGTCTATGCTGGCTTTTGTCTGTAGATTTGTCTCAAGGAGTAGCACCAAGTAAGGTGTCTATATACGGTAGCACCAATTGTAATGTTTGGAGAACTCAATGATTCAGTGATACACCACATACTGTCCTAGAATTCTTCCGTATTCCAGTGAAACTTTCTAAGTTAGTGGAATTGGGTGGGAGGGTTGGGGATGAAGAAAGGGAGTGAAGGATTCTGAAGGTGACTTGAAGGGATGGATCTGGGTTAATCGATTTTGATGTGACATTAGGCATTCATACTATTATAGTTGGTGTGTTCATGTACAGCCAATTTAGTTGTTGGAGCCTAGCATCAAAGCTGTTACGGTTATATAAACCAATTTTCCCAATATTTAAACAATATTTTTGACGATGATGTGGAAAGAGTTTTATTTCAAAGAATTCAAACGTACACAATATCTATAAATTTCCCAATACTACCCAGGTAAATAAAGGACTGGGTATCAATGTTTTGACCAAGTTGAGAAGGGTTTGGTTGTACCACATACTCCCTCTATTTTTTTTAAAGTGACATTTTCCTTAAACCTACGGGTTTTTTCAAGTGACACTTTTCTTGACCATTCATTTTTATAAGCGACATAATTTCCTGTATTGGATATATTCCACTTTTTTTAATTATATTTGTCTTTCTTTTAGTCCCCACTACTGCATTTTAAATTATTTCTAGCTCTTCATGGTACCCACTCCTACAATTTTATTATTTTTCTCATCTCACATCCTTATACTTCCTCCGTTTTTTTAGTTGCATCATTTTTCAAATTGCGGACCCATGTGATAGGAGAGAGATAGAGAGAGTTTATTTACTAAAAGAAAGGATGCAACTAATTTGAAACTTTTTTTTTAAGAAAGTGATGCAACTAAAAAGAAACAGAGGAAGTATTTGATTTCCTAACAAACCACCTTACCTATACACCCTATATATCTTTCTACTAAACTCCATGCGGAAGCTAGTGTCACTATATATAAAAAAAAAAAAAAACAAAAAAAACAAAAAAAAACTGAGGGACTAGAATTTACGACGGTCGTATCAGAATGTTTTGATATCTTGATTCACATGCCTCTGAAGGTTATATTTTGATTTATTGTGATTTGTTTCCTAATATTCACAATAATTGACAATTATCACTTTAAATGCAGAAGAAGAACCTAAGCACGAGAGCCATATGGGAGGGTACTAGAAGTGATCTCTTTGCTTCAGGAACAACAGAGTTGCAAACTGTTGCAAGGATGAATTCAACAGATAAACAGAGAAAAGGTATCTAATTATCTCTTCATCCCCCCCTCCCCCTCTCCCAAAAAAAAAATGATTAACTCGTTTTCTTACAGTTTGTTTGTGGTAATCATGAAATTTTTTAGGAACGGATACCGCTGTATTGTGTATCTTTTGTTATTTGAGTATGGTGCTTTATAAAGATGATATGAATTACAAGAAAATAGGCTAGATCATTGACATTGAATGTATATCTAAATCGTTATTCTTGAATCCTCATTCCCCTGTTTAATTTCTTATCAGATCTGGTATTATTTAGTTTCGTAATTCCCTAAATTTTGTTCTTTTTTAATCTCTGATATCCAGATCGTGGACGCATCGCATCCCATAATAGCTTTCGCAACAACCAGTGCCTTAATCAGCGAGATGCAGATCCAGATAATTTGCAGAATTCCAAAGAGTCTGCTACTTCTGATAAGGTGCAGATCTCATTGTTAGGTTATCTTTGCCTGTTTGGCTATAACTTGAGATGATTTGTGTGTTCACACAATTTTGTAAAGTAATCGTCATGCCTAGACTTTTAACCTGTTATAATCAAGCTGAGTCCATTTAGTTTTGTCATTGATTGTGAAATAGCCTCTAAAGACGTCCAATGTTTTGAATTCATCTGTTAAGTCTTTTCCCTTCATCTCCATATATTAATTCCATGGCATTGAAAAGAGATAGAAGCAATGAGGGATCCAGGTCACTTTTGGTGTCCTGAAACTCAATTCTAAAAAATATGCAAAATTTGATCAGTTTTTGGAATATAGTGTACCTTTAGTGCTTTGCATTCTTTTGTTTCTGACATTCTCAAGGTAATCCTATGTATGTGGCAATTATTTCACCATATCCTTGGTTATTGCTGGAAAAGTATATTTGATCTCATAAGCATGTTAAGCCCTCCAATCGGGTACCTTTCATAAGAAATATTGTACAATGTACGGAAGATGTGGCCTTGATTTTGTCAAGGAATATATTTCATTGTAATGCAGAAACAGAGAATGCACTATTAGTAGATTCATCATATATTTCATCATGGTAAACATTGTTAAATGTTCAAAGCATTTTTCTGGTAAAAAACTTTTGGTCAAATTTTGTTCTTAGAGATTATAAAACAGTTAATTTGTAAGCTTAATATGGGACTAAGGAAGTCTGCATCTTTCTTACTATAGTTACTAAGCAAGAGGCTAATTTGAAATCCAGAAAATGCAGTTGGGTAATTACCTATACCAGAGTATAATTTTTCTTAAACAAACTTCCTATACGTATCCCTGGTTGCAAGGAAGAAGTGAGTTGGGTAGGACTATAGGAGAGGGGAAGGGGTGGGGGGGGGGGGGGGGGAGAGGAGACAGTAGAATGAGGGAAGCAGTGGGGGCCACCGGAAGCTAGGGTTCAGAGAATAGGTTTGGGAAAGGGGAGGGGGGTGGGAGGAGGAGGAGGGGCGGGAGAATTGTGAAAGAAACCTATCAAAAGAGAAGTATGTGAGACTATGCATGTATTTAAATTATTGGGTTTGTGATTGAATGAGGCTAAATATGAAGTTAATGATGTACTCCCTTCGTTCTCTCATGAACACATATGCCAATGCAAAATTTTGACCAATAACATCTTTAATCATCAATAAGTAAAAATTTATAACAATTAAATATTAATAAACTATTCATTCAAACGATTCCAACAAGTACGCACAAGATTGTATTTATCCTTATGTATCAATCACTAACATTGGTAAGAGTGGATTAGGTGAATAGTGCAAAAAGGTAAAACGTGTCGCTTAAAAAAAATGGAGGGAGTGCTTTTGTAGGAAAAGTGACCTGGTAAGTACAGTCTTACATTTGACAGTATTCTGACAGGGCTATCATATGAAAATCTTCAAAATCTAACAGGGCTATCATATGACTCTGCTTGTCTTTTAAGATGCACGGCTCATTTTGCCTCTTGTGCTTTGCAGGCATCTGTTGATGTGGGTAATTTAACGCAACTCCATAGAGAAAGTAACAATGGGGCAGGTGTTGCAGAGAATACCTTCTCCTCTGTTGTTAGTTCCTCTGCAGTAGCACCTTCCCCTGAATTTACATTTGAAGTCCGTTGTGAGGATGGGATTCAACTTTATGTTGATCTGAATTCAAGCCCATCAGACTGGATTGAGAGTCTAACATCTGGAGTTCATATAAATCCTGATGTGTACAAGCCCAAGTCCCAAAGTTTTCATGAAGATATAGGAATGTTACATTGTCCTAAGCAAAAAAATGGATCTGATGCTATAGATCCATGTAAGGAGACTGATAATCGCCAACTACAAGATCGGTCTTATCCAACCTCAATATTGACTGATAATCTGACACAAACTGTTGAGCCTGATGATGGAGAAGGGTCTATGTCTTCACCTGGATTGAAATGCTTAAGCAATGCTGCTCATAACTTGGGGAATTTACAAGAAGAACAAGCACATTTATCATCCAGACTTGAACCTGGTACTGAGTGGCAACTTCCTGGTGCAAAATATTGCAGAAGAGAGGAAATATTGACTAATAAGTCAGACATTAATGCAGCTGTCCGAACTAGAACGCGCTTTAATTTTACTGGAAATTCTGTGCCATCTGATCCTAAGTTTTCAGAGATGCCACACCAGGGTGCAGATACTGGTAATGGTGCTCATAAAAAGCAATCCTTGCAGCAAATTAATAATTGTTCTCTGGACCCTGTTCAGAAATCTACTCGTTCTACTATGTGTCAAGATATTGAATATTCTCCTTCTGAAATTGGTAGACATGTAAACACAGTTGACCAGATAAAGAATACTGAACAGACTGAATTAGTTAAAACTATTCAGACTCCCAGCAGGGATGGGCTGCAGATGTGTCCTGCTCAAGAAGTTGGTCAAAGAACAAATGTGTCTCCTATGTTAAAGTTTCCATTTAATCTTGCTGATAGGAGTAAAGCGGAGCAAATCAACAGAACCTTATTTGAGAAACTTGATAGGCAAATAAGAGAAGCTCAATTACATTTAGCAGGTAGTCACTCAGTAAGCAGATATTTTTCTCCTTGTAAAAGGGCTCGAATATGTTATTAATCTCTGTAATGGTATTGAAACAGGAAATGCTGGATCTCTTAGGACAGTGGAGGCTAGTAATGAAGCTAATAAGCTTCAGAAAAAAGATGATGGGTCCTTTGAGGTGGCTGTTTCAAATAAAAAGGAGTTAGATCTTCGCATATCAACTAAATCTAATGAGCTTCAAGAGGACATTTGCAGAAGCCCATCAACAGCCAATGTGGGAAATCTGGTATTTAAATTTGCTTTAAACCTTTGCCTCCCCCCCCCCCCCCCTCTCCCCTTCTCTCTTTTTCTTGTTATAAAAGGTAGGTGAAGCCTTAATAATATGTTTCCACCTGATACTTACAGATATTTAAGGCAAGTTGATGATTAATTGTAGTATAATAAGTCATGCCCAAAGTAGACCCTAAAATGATTAAAATCAGCCTCCTTGCCCTGAAATTGCAGTAATGACAGTCCTCAATGCTGTTGTTAATCTGCGAGGGAATTATCCAAATCCTTTTGAGATGCTCTCTATGTTCCTTAAGATCTTCCTTGTTACTGTAGCATCAGAAACCAAGGGAAGTAGAAAAGTGGGTTTTTCCCCCCTATTGTGATGGGAAAAGAACATAGTTTAGACTCTTTAAAGATAAGAGGGTCCAACAAAGTGGGGCGAGGGAAGATGAAGGGTAACAAATTTAACCAAAATAGGGATAAAGAAAAAGTAGGAAGAACTTCATAAAACTCAGGAAATATAACAATCACCCTGCATTATTTTCTAACAAACATAGTCATTTCTCAACTATCTAAAGTCTCTGTAATTACAAGTTTCTGAAATCTGGATTGCTGACTTTGCATTAGCCATCATGATTTCCTTTATCATCCTATAATACAAACCCAGTTTCTGCTTTGTCTTTTAATCACCTTGTTCTCTCGTCTTCTCTAAACTCTAAGAGGTTGATTCTCTGTTGCATTTAAATATATATATATATATATATATATATTTTCGAGCTGGAAGGATTGAATTTTCTAATAATACTGAAAAATATATATTAAAACCTGCGCCTTTCTTACAATACTCCCTTATCGTTCTGGATTTTAGCTAATTGAATGACCAAGGAACAACTCTTGAATAATATCTTTTGTTAGCTGGCTGCTGGGAATCCTCTAGTTCCACAGCAGCATATTTGAATTTTGGTTAAATTTTTGGCTTTCCTTATTTCTCTCTCTTCTCCATGCCCTCAACTTTAATAAGAATAGTGCACAAAGTCCTGAGGGCTGATTCTGTCAGCTTGAATTTCTCTTCTTGTAGAGAAGATAGGGGTTCCTATGGATCATCATGATACTCATATGAATAACTTTTTTCCAGTAACATATATGAATAACATTTTTTTAAAATAAAGATCATCATGATACTCACATTGGTCAGAAGTGCATTTTCTTTTTCATCCTGGCTTCCATCATTCACAAAATCACTGTATTAGGTTCTAAGTAATACTTACATTGCAGGGTAAGAGCGACGCTGGAAATGGAAGGGAGGGATCAAAGTAAGCTCACTACCTCAAAAAAGAAGATTTTTATTCAGGATTTACCTTGTTTTACCTAATAACTTAATTTGCTTATTATTCAGATGCTTGAATTCTAATAACCTAATGGAGAAGCCCCGGAAAAAGTCTTCGGATTCAGAATCTACTGGGGAGCACAAGAAGAGAAGAAATTTAAACAGCGTTGAGCATCCGAGTAAACTTGCAAATGCTGAGGCAAAGAATTTGAGGTCTTCAAAGCAGCTTGATGGAAATGTTAATTCAAAGCGTAGAAGATCATCACGGCTTTTTACTAAGGTTTACTTTCATTCCATGTCATTCTTTTCCTACCTCCACTCCATTTAGTTTCTCTCTTTCTTTCACCCACCCATCCACCATTGCACACACCCTGTACTCTCACCAAAAAGTTGATTGGTACTTGCAGTATTATATTTGTTTTACAAATCAGTTGAATTCCATTTTGCTTGTTTAGCAGGAGTTGCTACGCTTACTGTAATGTGATTGGATCCTCTTTCTGATGATTGATTATGTAGTTTGGTTAATTCAGTTTTGTCCGAGCTTTGCATCCATAATTTTTCTGTATGCTTTGAAAACCATTTACTTTTGAACACACAATATTGATTTTATCTGGTGATGTAGAAAGCATATGCTGTCTAAGCATCCTAGGTAATACTGTAATTAGATTGTTCTATACATAATAATCCTTGACAATTCCACTTGATGCATATGGCTGGATCCACTCTGAACGTTGCTGCTGTATACTCGTATTAGCCTTAGCAACTCTTGATTGACTTTTTTTTTTAAAAATGCGAGGCATGGTTTAATCCATAAAAGGTATAACTTTGCTGTGAAAGAAGAGGTTTGAACTTGATTAATGTGTAGTTATTAGATCGAACCTATAATGCTCAAGTATGAATTAGTTGTGTTTTGACATGTAAAAGTAGATTTTTTATATATTGTTGACCCCCCCCCCAACCTGCGGGGATCTTCTATGAATTTGTTCATTTTTTTTGTTTAATAATTATGTTCTGAAATTTAAAGTTTTAAGTGTAATACCAAATTAGGCATTCCGTGATTGAGAATAATGCAATGGTATGCAGGGGAGAAAATGATGAGTCATGTAAATGGTCTATGTTTAATATAGCCTTTATGGGTACGGTGAGATTAGGAACCAATTTGGGAGTTACCTGTGTTTTTGAGTAACTAAATCTGTATATTTCAGTTTTTGGAATTAGGTAGCTGGAGCTGTGTTCAGATTTATTTGCCAAACAATCAAGCAAGATTGTTTTGATAGATTGTCAAATGTTTTTGAGTACAGATTTCTCGACTCTAAACTTGTTTACCAGATTATGTAATATAATTGTGGATGATGCCTTGGAGTCTTTATGAGACAAGTGCCAGATTATAGCTCAATGAACATTCACATTGATGCTCGGTGTATAGGCTTACGCTCGTGCTGATATGTTCAGTTGTATTTGTGTTCCTGAAATGACAGTTTTTTTTCCCTGCTGTGACAGTGAGCTGCTGAGACACAATTGAAGTTGTCATGGTACTTGTTGAAAGCTGAGAAGGAATTTATGGTTAGTACCTATTGTCTATGGCCTCTGCCTATACAAATTCTGAAATTCGTTAACATATTTACTTTCTGGAACTCCCCAAGATTTGTAAATTTTCATGTGAATTTTGTTCATTTCATCAATTTCATTGGCTTTGATATTATAGTATAAGCTTATGGTTCTGAGATGTCAGAGGTGAAGGAGTTAAATTTATATATTTTAATTTTTTCTTCTTTGTATTACACTTGTACCTGTTCAGCTGTCCCTCTATAATCAACTGTGCCTATTGCTGCTTTCGCTTGTCTTTTACACTCCTGACCAATAATTTAAATGCACTATGGTCCTGACTTCCTGGTTATAAAATTGTAGGTCTTTAATATCATTAAACACTAAACAAAATGATAGATATTGTGCTAGATACTCGTTCAAATGCGACACTTTTGCTGAGTTTTGAATATTAGTGATGTCTGTTATTGATTATATTTATTGTGGTATTATGCAGGTTTGCTTATATGTTGGAGATGTTGGAGAACATACAGATACAAAGAAAGAATAATGGTGCTATACCCTATACAATTTTTAATTATTTCTATGACATTTGTTATAATTAATCTTGCCTTTGGTGTCTACATGACATGAGGCCATTGTTCTTTTACTTTTTTTTTTTTTTTTTTAAAAATACATTTATAATTTTGGTCTCTGTTTTGAGGCTTGTATATTAGGCTATATTATTACTCAGGACACATCTATGTTATACTTTACTTGTTATATTTGTTTATCTACTAGTTATCTTTGTTCAATCTTTTATTTTATGACAGATCCATCTAAAAGTAGCTCCAATTCAACTGATCTTGAGCTGAACTGTTCAAGCCCGAGTTGAACTCGAGTTGAGTTGATCTAAGCTAAACTCGTGATCAGTTCACTCGATTAGGGGGCATAAAGACTGATGAATACGGTCATACAGAAGATATTCTTAGTTCATGATTCAAAAACTGTAAACAGACCTCTGTCTCGAAGATGGGTGTAACATAACCCGTGTTCGTGGACGACCTCGGAAATGGGGTAGCATAATACATATACTTGTGCAATGGTGTTATTCACCATTTTGGTAGGCTGATGGCTCATCTTTTTTTGTGGCAACCTCAGTAACAGAGCTTCTAAGATTGTTCGTCAACGCGTTGAAGAAAGATAGCGTCGTAATTCAACTGACCCAAGTAGCCGACCAAGGTCTATAAACACACAACCAAGCTTTTTGGTCTTTACAATTAACTAGTCTCAAACAACTAGATTATTATAAACCCAAAAAATATGAAAAAGAAAAATAAAAAATTGATTTTCAACTTCTACATAATCGAGGAGATCTTATTAAATAAAAAACTGACATACATTATAATAAGTTTATTAATATTTGTGCTTAGTTGCAAATTCTAGAAACTAGGATGTTTAATTAGGCTCTTTGTTTAGTTGAGCTCTATATTTCTAATCAGTCACTTATGTACTCCTTTGTTTTAGCATGTTTGCAGTCAAATGCCAATTTTGTTTCCTTTTGTTTAATTCAAAAGGTTATAAGATAATATCATTTTTTTTACAATACTCTAATTCTTAAAGAATGATCGTTAATTGGTTAAACACTCTAAAAATTTACTTCGGTTGAGGTTCTTAGAGATATTCTCTTCTTTACAATGGCTATGCAAGAGTTCTGTAAAAATTAGACTATTGTAAAAAATGATATTAGAAAACCTAATTCTAACACTAATTTGTCAATATAATAGTCTAATTCTTTAAGGCTATTGTTTAATACTTTGATGTCAGAATTAGTCTAATTTAAAAGGTTATAAGAATTTTGTTTAATATGACTATTAGAGTATTAGAAAAACCTCACTACTTTAAGCTCAAAAGATTCAAGTGAAATAATCATATTTCACAAATTGAAAATATATGCAAGACAATATTCATAGTAATAATTCGACCTCTGACCTCACTTTTGAAAGTCGGAGAACTAGCCAACTAATCTAGCATTCTATCTCATATTATAGTACAATTAGCTGTATCATGTATTCATATACATGGAACCACGATATAATCAATATTTTATTTTCTTATTGTTATACTATTTGGTCATATAATAGTTTATTCTATAAACTCATTTGGTAAATTGATGCAAGTAGTATAACGGAAATTTGTAGTCTTTGAAATTTAGAATGAAGTTTGGCTTAAATATACGTGTATTTGCCGCGGAATGGGCTCCGATGTTTGGGCTTCAATGTCTAGTTGGGGCATATCCATTACACTCTCATACCTACGTCATTGGCTGATTCCTAAAAAGTACCAACACAATTTTACACTTTCTTAACGACTAAAGTAAAAAGATTTGGGACTCAAGGAAACAAGAGCTAAAGCCTAAAGGATTGAAATTTTTCATCAACAAGATGGTTGTCCTTCTATGATCTGATAGTGATTTATATTTTGAAGGATGGTGTGACTTTGATTAGGCTAGTTGTTCACTTAGTAGATACAAGGAGATTGTTGATTGGTTTGTTTGTATACCGTATTTGCTTGGTTTTTCCTCCCGTGTCTTAGAAATCAAGAAATAACTCGTGATATTTAGATCACCGGTTGAACAAAGTACATCGTTTAATGGTCTATAAGATGTGAGTTTCAAATTAAAAAGTTGTCAAAGCATCTACTTGGAATTAAAGGGTGAGTTAGCGTTATATTGCTCAAAATTCAATGTTTTGTGAGAGAACGAAATATATTGAATCAAATTGTCATTTTGTGGGGGACACATAAAGATGAACACAAATAATCTATTATTTGTACACAAAGACGAAGAAGCATATGGCAGCTATTTTTACCAAAGCATTGGGAAATGCTCAATTTGAGTTTATTCTTCCCTGTTTTAGCATTCAATTAAAATATGAGAGAGAGAGAGAGAGAGAGAGAAGATTGAGATTTCGACACTAATTTGTCAATACCGTGACAATAAATAACTTTCTTGTTCTAATTGCAATGATGATCTACTGCAAACAAGCATTTGTATCTTACAAGATATAATCAAGCCCATTTTTTGCCCAGATGCATGTGTTATGAGCTTTTATTATTAGTCATATCAAATTATTAATCACATTTTTTTAAAGTCTCCATCTATTTCCCTCCATCCCTTACATTAGAAATGCTAAACTAAAAAAAAGAAATGCTTATTGCTATGATTTAATTTGTTCATATACATAGATTTATGCAATAATGTAGCTCACACAATAAATTAAATAGGACATAATGAATGTTCAAAAGCGAGGGTGAGGGCCGGAGTCCAAATACTACCTCTGATTTTTTTAAATTATAATTTTGGGGTATTATTTAAGAGATATAGAATATTATAAAGTTGCAAAAAAAAAAAAAAAAAAAAGGGAGTTATTCACTTCAGCATTGTAAAACATATGTGGTTCAATAAATAAACACATACACAATATTCCTATATATATTTACAATACCCAAAGCCCTAATGTGTTAGATTTGTCACTTATTGTTGCGCTAGTATATGGTGGAGAGAAGTATAAAATTATTTTTTGTATTTAGCTTTCAGTTTATGGTGGAGAGAATCATTATTTTTTATTTTAAGTTATTATTTTTTTTTAAATAAAAAACTAAAAATAGAAAACAAGAAAAAGGTGTTTCCACTTTTCTGTTGTTCTTTTTTATTTGATCTGTTTCTTTTATCACGCTTGCCAATGCACAAGTTTAACCATCAATAATTTTAATACTCTACAAGTAAAAATTATAAAAGTTATATATTGTGATAGTACTTATTTAGACGATTTTAACAAGATCCTACATGATTATGTTTTTCTTTACCTGAAATTCACAAAAGACGGTCAAAGGTGGGTTGGTGAATAGTGTAAAAGTCAAAGCGGGTCAAGTAAAAAAGAACAGATGAAGTATATCGTATGATTTAAAAAGACAAAAAACCACAGTAATGCCAAAACGAACCCTTGGTGAATCGTGTAAAAAATAGAAATCATTAGTTTATACGGAACATGTCAAAAAATTATTCGAAATTGTAGTTCCATAATCCACACAAAATATTTATTATTATGTTGTTATCTAAAAAGCCACCTCTTTAAATTTTTTTGATTGGAAAAGATAATCAAGTTGATGAACATTTAACATGGAAATAAATGTAATTGGCCTTTTAAAGTCATTAGCTCAACTCCAATGATATAAATCATTAACCTACCTTGATCATAATCATTATTAAGCACTATTGCGGTGATTTTGACCTGGCTTGATTGATTAACATGCAATTACATGCACTTTACAAATTACAAATCTTTGTTGATTTTGGGGAATTAATTAGTTGAATTGCACTCATCACCTAAATCATGTCATTTGCTAGCATTGGATGCAGATAGTAGATCGGATTTTAATTCCGTTCTACCCAATTTAATTTTTACGGTCTATTTTCTTCTACTCACTTTTATTTTAAGGAAAAAGATATATGCAATACTTAGGGCTGCATATAAGAAGCTAAAAGTAGAAAAAATTGACAATAAATAAACATTTCTTACACCAACTTTCTCGTGAATGGTCGATAAATTCCCAACTTAATTCTTAAAAATGAAGTATATTAAGGGTTGCATATATATATATATATATATATATATATATATATAGGGGGAGGCTCTCGTGAGAATTTTTCTTATGTGAGAACACTCTTTATGTTCTAAATTTTTACTCGTATGTTCTAAATTTTAAATCTAATGTTCTAAACTTTTCCTTAGGTGTTCTAAATTAATCAAATGTTCTAATTTATTACTCACATGTTCTAAACCATAAATTAGTTAAGTTTAATATCATAAATTTTAAATAACTTGTTCCAATATTTTAACTTATATGTTCTAAATTTTAAAATGTGTGTTCTAAGATTTTTAATTATATGTTCCAGATTTTAAAGCGTATGTTCTATTTTTTTTACTCATATGTTCTAAATTTTTTACTCACACTTTCTGTATTCTATATCAGTTTGTTCTAAATTTTTATTCACATATTCATAATCTTAAATCAGATGTTCTAAATTTTACTCATATGTTTAAAATTTCATTAAGCATATTTTATAAATTTTTAATCACTTGTCATAATTCTTAAATCAAATGTTCTAAACATATTACTCACATAGATGTTCTAAATTATTATTAGATGTTCTAAATTTTAATTTCAGACACATGTTCTAAAATTTTATTCGTATGTTCTAAACTTTTACTCACATGTTCTAAATTTAAAATCAATTCTCATATAAGTATGAATTCTCACATATGAACCTATTCTCACCGGATCCCTCCCCTATATATATATATTACCCTTATTTTATTTACTTAATTCGCTAATCTCTTTTATGATTTTTTTTTTATTTATTTTTTTTACATCAGCATAATAGACTTATAAAAAAAATTACAAACTATGGAGTAGGTTTGATAAACTACTGAAAGAAGCTACCTTAATATTAGTCTCTCTTTCTAAACAATTAAAATCTCCTCCTTCTATCTAAAATCAAACCCCCTCGTCTGTTTTCCCCTGCAGGCGGCATCCAGAGCAACGCTGACGAGCATCCTTATAGATCCAAGGCCTAGAGTAAGGTTCTTGGTGTTCCCAGGGGTGACGAGTTTTTCAAACATGGCACTTTAGTTTAGCCGCTTTCTCGCCGGTGTTTTCTATCGCAACAACCGTCATTAATAAATTCACCGATAAAGGTAAAGGTTAGGGTTAGGGTTTCTTGTTTGATTTAGGTTTGGTTGTCACGTATTTGGGGCTTTAATTTCAAAGCTAACTTTGTCGCCGCCGTGTGTGGTTTCTCGTGAATCGAAGTACACGGTAAAGGTAAAGACTTAGTTAGGGTTTCTTGTTTGGACTTTTAATATTTCTCTTTTTCAGCCTTCCTCCGTTTTAAGCTCCTTTGTGTTTAGTTTGTTTATTTTCAATTTGGTGGAGTTTGATAAGTTGGTTGTTCTTCGATGCTCTTGTCGTTGTTTTATTTGGGGCTAGTTAGGTTTTATTATGCGGTGTAACATGGTTTTAGGGGAGCTAAGGGGATGTATTAATACCTCCTCTTACAGTGTCTTGGTGCTCGGGTTCGAGTATTTGTGGGGACTACCATTTATTGTAGTTTGTTTAGGTTCCTTAGAATTGGTCTTGGCTTGTTGTTTGTATGTTGTTAATTCTTTTGATATCTACGGTCAAGATAGTATTCAAAGGTTATCCCTTGGTAACCTTTATTTCACTTTATTAGCAATGGGTTTTCAATTTTTTGCTTTGAAAAACTTTTATCTTAGCCATTAAGTTTCATTTGGGGATTTTCAGTTTGGTACGGTGATGGTTTTTTTCTTAGAGAAGAGGTCAAAGGTACCCACAGTTAAGGTTACCGAGTCACCTTCAAAAGTGACTTTGAGTGTGTTGCCAAGCCTAGGTCGTCTGTTGTTCCTACCCCTGTTGCCTAATGCTAAGGACTAGTGGTGTCTTTTTGAGCTTGTGTTATTGTTAACAACCAACAACTGTATGTTCTATGCTCTTCCTTCCATTCTCCAAGATCAAAGGTATATGAGATGTAAAGATAACAATGGTAACATTGGGTATCTCCTGAACAGTGGCGGATCCAGGATTTTCAATTCCGGGGGACAAAATGCTTAACTTACAAAAAGCTTAACAAAAAATAAAAACAAAAAAAAACTCAAACACACAAATTGGTTAATACTTAATATTAAAATTTCAAAATAAAAAACATACTTAGTCATACAATTCAAATGATGAAAAAAATTACATAAACATTACACTTTCATCCTTCGAGTCTTCATATTTTGGAAGCGATCAACAATTTTTTCATCGGAAACTCTTAGGAAGACATCCTTCTCAATAAAAGTGACCAAACAATCATTCATAAGTTGATCACCCATGCTATTTCGCAACTTATTTTTGACGCATATCATTGCGGAAAATACTCTTTCAACACTTGCCGTGGCAACCGGAAGAATCAACATCAACTTGATAAGCAAATGAATAAGAGGAAAAGTCTTATGCTTATTAGTTTTAACAAGCATCATAGAAAGAGAGTTAAGGTCATTTAAACCTTGAAATCTATCATTACCCCTATTATATGAATCCCCGCTTTCTTCATGTCCACGAAATGCCAAACCTTGCCCCAAAAGAAACCTTAAACAAGTTAAAGATGCATTCAAGCGGATAAAATATTCACTTTTAATCACCTCACTTGCGTTGTCAAACACATTCAAGATTGATTTTTTTTTTCCATCTCTTAAATTTACATATTTCTCATAAGCAAGATTATGAGCACTGTTAATTCCACCAACATGCTTCTCAAATCTTTCCGGTTTATTCCATGCCCTAAACCCTCCATCAACAAATGCATCACCCCCCGAATAACTATCAACTTCATTCTTGAACAAGTAACATACAAAACAAAATGCAGCATCTTTTTCAATACTATACTCAAGCCAATCCCATTTCTTGAACCAATGAACACTAAAGCGACGTAAACTAGACACTTGTCTTTGAGGAAAGTCACGAGTTTTTGGTTGGCAAGGTTTTTTAAGAATATAACCCCTCCTAACTGCATTTCGTTCATTTGCGGGGTAATCCATTATGTTTATTCTTTTTCCCGGATCATGAGGAAGAAGTTCAACATCGTATACCAAATTTTCCTCCAATGGTACATTACAAGTACTTGAACCACCCATTTCCATATCATCTTCTTGACTTTGAGGGGGGCTTAATGAAGGGGAGTTATTGGACTCATTTTCATGGAGTTTCTTTCTTTTAGACAAGAATTGTCGAAGATCGGGTTGTTTTCTAGTAGCCTTGGATTTGTTTGAATTAGGTGAATCATTTGACATTCCCTAATTACATTAAAAAATATATATCAATTATTCAATTTCGGAATTTCCACAATTCACATCATTGCATAAATGCATACTATAAAACCTAACATTAAAATTGCAATTAAAATTAAAATTCAACAAATATTGCAATTAAAATTAAAATTATTCAACAAAAATCTGGAAATTAGGGTTAACAATTGGTGAATTGGGGATTTCAAATTAACAAATTGGGAATTTCGAAATTCGAATTAGGGTTAGCAACTTAGCAAGACATACCATAAGTTTAGCAGCGACTCAGCGAGTGGTGAGGAACCCAGAGGCCAAGGCGGACAGGCGGTGGTCGGTGGAGCAGCGAGCCAGTGACGCCTGACGCACTAACGCACGCGCCTGCAGCGAAGACTGAAGATGGAGCACACCCGCACAGGAGCAGCGACGCACCACGCACGCACGAAGCCTCGACGGTCGCCGGTTGGTGGAATGGTGGAGCAGCGACGCAGTGGACTAGTGGTAATGGCGAATTGGAGTGAAGATTGAAATGGAGCAGCGTTGTGCGATTTGTTTTGCTTTTTTTTTAAATTTTTTTTTTAAATTGGGGGGACAGCTGTCCCCCCATGTCACTTAATTGGGTCCGCCCCTGCTCTTGAAACATGTTCGAAGGCAAATTTTTGTTTCAAGCCGACTGTTTCTTACAAGTTAAGGATGATGTTATATAGTTTTATATGTAATAGTTGTACCATTGGAGCTAGTAAAGCTCTTTTATGATTTCATCCTAAAATATATTACATTTTTCACATTTACTTTCTTACTATTTTTTTTTATTTATTTTTTTATTTTTTTTTTAAACACAAAGTCATCTAATTATTACATACAATTTCTCTTACTTTATTATTGGTAGTACCAGCATCATCATATTTGTGCGTTGCATGTTGATAATTTATCAATTTTCAACGCACACCCATCATCATTATTCCCATAGTTTTCACGATTCTCTCGATTTAAGTTGGGGCCAAATGTACACATATAGCTATCTTTAATTTAAATTCCATGCAAAATTGTTTTAGACTTTTAGTTGACCCTTAGTTTGATTCACATTATTAACTAAAAAGTGTAATTAATTCTCTAATATATTGGGATAGTCTTATACTCTTATGTCGTTATATTGAAGTGTATCCTATATTAATTTATGTTAGGCGTAGTGCTCAGCGTATATCAACTATAGTGAGTAGTGATTGAACATTATTATTGTATTACCTATTAATAAATTATTGATTAAAAGCTAAAAGAAAAAACGCTGTATATATAATATTAGGAAAAAAAAAGGATGAGATAGAAAAAAAAAACCGAGAAAATTTAAAGTCAAACTTTGACAACTATTTTGACTACCTATTATCTTTCGTATTTGTAATTGACGGGGTAATTGGTTAAACTTAAACACCTAGTGATTAATTATGTAATTCGTTAAGTCCATAAAATTACTATTCTACATTCCTTATATATGAATTGAATGGTTTGAAACAAAAATACACTTTATTAATATTCAATATGTCGATCTCTAAATAAAACCTCATTTTTCTCAAAATTTATTGTCCATGTCATAACGAAAAGCCTTATTTCTTACGAGTATATGTATATAAAATCAACTAACTTTTTGTTTCACTTTTAATCAACAAGACTAATCTACCTCCATTAATTTATTTTTCTTACATCACCGATAAACAATAGACTATTATCACTATTTATCCACAATACCGTATTCTAATTCATTTTCTACTATATATGCGGTAAGAAATAAATCTTTTAAAAAAAGAAAATAAAACGTTTATTTAGGAACAAAGAGAGTAATGAGTTTTACTCCATACCCTTATAATTAACTAAAGAATTGTTAGGGCATGTTATGATTTACTGAATTGAACTGAATTATTTATGAGAGAAGGAAATTAAAAGTTGAACTGAATTGTTTGTGAGAAAAGGAAATTAGGAATTGAGCTGAACTGAAGTGAAGTGAGGTGAAGTGAAATGAACTGGACTAATTGGAACTGAACTGAACTGAACTAAAAATTAAGTTGAAGAGAACAAATCCTTACCAACTTGTAACAATGAAAATTAAGATTTTTGTGGTACACTCATAGTCTCATATACACTAGAATTATTGTATGGAAAAATGTTTTCCCTCCTTTTTATACATTATTCAAATTTTATGATAATTCATTGCTCCTCATATAGATATTTTTTTTTTTTGATGCAAAGGTGGGTAAAGGAACCCGAATCCTCATATAGATATTAAATGAATGTCGTAAATACTACTCGTAATAGATCTCGGGGAGTCCTTATTGTTGTTGTATCCAAATCTAATTCATAATATTTGATGTGGCCAAAAAACAAGGGTACACAGAATCTAGCTACCAAAAAATGTAATCCCATTGTCGTGGATGCCCTAACGTTATTTTCAAAGTATTTATTAGTATTGCATTTATGTGTAAAATAAATGATTAACGCATTATACATCTCTTTTGGTTTCGTAAAGTTAATATAAATTGAAAATATTAAGTCTAATCAAACAACACCAATTAATGTAGTATTAATTTAGAAAATGCATTAAAACATTTACGTGCAACACTAAAGGTTGTATACTCGTATTTGTTTACTCTATTTTTTTTTTCTTTTAAATGCAACACAATACCACCTACTCTGATCTATACCAATTTGATTAGGTTAATGTGTGCACATTAATTAAAAAGTATAATCCTTCCGCTTTATATTGATCTTCTTGCTTAGAGTATTATTATTTTGTGACAAAAGTCATTAATAAATTTATATTATTTCAAATTATTCTATAAAACTCACCTTTTACTCTATAATATAATTAAGTACTTATGTTATTTTAACTAAGAATTTGAGACTAGCAACATATATGCATAGTATCAATTTGATTATTATATTACTCCCTCCATTCATAAATGTATATATTCAGATATCTAATTTTATAATTTTATTAGACATGTCATTTCTTCAAATATATATACTCCATGGATAATAATAAATTTTCCTTTCACCGCATTATACTTTACTCATTTTGATTTACATTTTATATATGTTTCAATTATAATTCTCTTGCCGTAATATTTTGCACAACGAATAAGAGTTCAATTTTTATTAGGGTTAGTTTCTCTATCTATTTATTACTCCGTAACAATATATTATTCTAATAAATCCAATTATTTTTCAATCCACTATATGTTACGGAGTACATGCTTTTCATCGTTTTATTGGATGGGATGCTAGATAATTAATGTCATATCACACCATTACGGGGACACACATAATAATAAAGAGAACAAATCAAAGGCTTGCAATTAAGGATTTAGAAATACAATAAACTTCTTTCTACTTTGTAAATTGGGTAAAGGCTATACATACAATTTGTAGAAAACTTTAGTAATCCGTATTAAACGATCTTATAATAACTTAATTATTTATTAGGAGTAACAATTTGTAATGATATTTTTCATTTGAATAGATATTTTCTTAATTCTAAGAGGACGTTTTGACATTTGTCATTCCATCATAATGTGAAACAACTATAGCTTGGTCTTAATTAAGACTTGTTCATTGCAAATACCTATAGTATTTAATAGAGTACGAAATATGAGAATAGTTAGCATTCCATCTCTCCTAATACTGTAGAAGAAATTGCTAGCTAACTTTTTTTATGGAAATTTGCTAGCTAACTTAGCAATTAAGTTTTTGAGAGTTATATCATACCTACATTTTCTGATACACATCAATACTCCCTCCATCCTTTGGTGTATGTTACGTTTAATTTCAAAATTCAAAGTTAAGTTTAAGATATATAATCACATATTAACAATTAATCTACAATAAGGAAAAAAAAATAGTCAGTAAATCTTTTTAGATTCATTGTGTTTTTATAATATCTGATCCACTAGTATTTTTTTTTTCTTTTCAAAATTTTACAAACACATAATTAAAGAGATTACCATCAAACTTGTGGTAAACATTAAGGAATAAAGAGAGTATACATAACACTCTCCTTAATAAAACATTGCATAATCCTCACCAACAAAAAAAAAAAAAAAAAATATCCTAAATTACAAATTCTAATTTTATACAGTACTATTAGTAGAGTGGATACTTTGGTGCTTACTCATTGCACTATCACAGCAGAAAAACACAGAATTTATAAAAGATTGAGAAGGTTTTTCTTTCTCCAAAATTTTAAACTAAATAAATTAAAAAAAAAAAAAAATTCAAAGAGCCCATGTGTGCAGGAATCTAGGCAAAAATCAATCAAAAAATTCCCCAAAAAAAAAGATTAAATTAATTTAAAAAATTAAATAAAAATAAATTTCCTTTTGCATTAACTTCCTCATTTAATGTCTTCACCTACACCCCCTGCCCGTTTTGAGAACCTGCATTGCTCTCTTCTCATTTATTACTCAACTTTCTCTCTCTATTTTCTCTCTCTTCCTTCTTCTTCTCTCTCACTTCTTCTGTGGCAGCAAATTCATTCCTCTCTTTCATTCTTGTGAATTCTTTCCCAGCAACCCCTGTTAGTAGTACACAAGTTAGGTGCAAAATTTACCCTTTTCTTGGTAAATTTATGGTGCATTGATCATCATGAATTGCTCAACTTATCAAGACTCCATTAAAGTTCTGTTTTTTACACTTTTTGATCCAAAAAGGTGAAAACTTTCTTCAATCCACTTTGCAAAATCCAATCTTTCTGAGTTGCACTGTCATATTTTACCCATTTGAGTGTTAAATAGGGTAAAAATGAGGTTTTGAATCTGGGTTTTGCCAATGTTTTACCATTTGAGCTTCAGAAATGTGGAAGAAAGGAAGAATTTTTACTGGGGTTTTTCTGCACCTGAGGTAAAAATACTTCTCTGCTGCTAAATTTAGGAAATGGGTTTGTTGTTTATGTTGCTTAGGAGACAAGATTGATAATGGGGTTTTTGGCTTCCGAATGCATAATTTTTGTGACCTAGTTTTGT